CAATTTGAAGTCAGAAGATGAGATGTTTGTCTTTATCACAGTCATTCTCTCTTTGTGGAGTGTAAAAACACAAGCAAAAAAAAAAACCCAATCTATCCAAATTGTAATGCAGTTATTAGCAAGTAGTTAGGATGAGTTTACTTAGCCGAAAGGAATCATCAACCAGCAATTTTCTTTTTCAAAATGCCGTGACATGTGTTTTCTCTTCGTTTTCAAACACTTCGTCTCCCTTTCTTCCCTCCTTGAGATCCTTTTCACAGACGTGATACACAAAAGCGGTGCAGGATATATGGGAGAAGACAATACTTCCCGAGCGCAGACGATCACTAAAGGTTGAGGAAATTTTCAAGTCAAGTTGTGAACCATGGAGAGGTAAGGAGTAGGTGAGGTGTGCAAATCCCTCACTTAAGCCACTCGACAGCATAGAGAAGAGAAACTCCCCCCGGGTCCAGACCGATGGAGCTCAGAATCGTAATGACAACAACCACACTGGCACTGGGAACGTTTGGCAGGGCTGTGACATAGGCAGTTGTCAAAATGCTGCAAGACAGGCGAAAGTAGGATTAATAATGTCCGTAGCAGACTTGTGGAAGGCAAGAGCTTTAACTTTACATTACAATAACAGCTTTGCCGAAATCAAGAGTCACATTTAGCGTTTGAGCAACGTAAAACACCGCAGCCACAATGAAAATAGCCGAGGCATCGTTCTTCATGGTGCCAGCTACGGGGAGTACGAAACGTGAAATTCTTTTTGGTATGCCATAGGAATCACAGACATCGTAGCATTTGGGAAGAGATAAGATGCTAAAGAATGAAGAAAATCAAGGGATGATAAAATGGAACACTGAATGTCTACCACTTGATTTACAACAACTCACGTCGATGTGGTTGCAAAACCGACAAAGTAAGGTGGAAGGGAGAGACGAAGGATTCCAAAGGGATTTTTACACAAGCAGAGCAAAGAAAGGATGACATAGATGAGGTGAGTGAACTGCCCTACGAAATTGAGGGCAACAAAGAGTCCCAACGATCTGAAAGTGTCTTGTAAATTATCCACACTTGA